TTGAGCAAGGTTTTAGAGCCCAAACTCAGGTTTAGCTCGATTTGAAATATTAAATTATTAGTAAAAATTTTAATTTAAAAATATTAAAATATTAATTATTTTAATTATTTTTTAAAATTTTGAAAATTTTGAGTTTATTAAATTAAAAACTTATTTAGATAAATGATAAGATTAATTTTAATAAAATTAAAAATAATAATATAAATTATTATAATTATGATTATAAAAATTTATACTGAATAAATTTTATTAAAATTAATATTTAAATTTAATTAATAATATAATAAATTTAATTATATCACATTAAAAATACGCTAAATCTTCACTAAATCAAGCTTTCAGAAAGCTAAGTAGGTTTGGGTTTGCTCGGCAAGGTACAAGTTTAGACATTACCTTGCTACTATTAGTTTGTTACCTCATTCTTAACCTTTAAAAAAAAAAAAAAGGCCATCCAGTTATACTGCCAAGAATGTCCACTAGCCAGTATATATATAAAGAAAGTTGAAAAACCAAACGCCTTCTAAAAATATTATTGCTAAGGAGTTGCTTGTCCCAAGAATAGAGGGCAAAGTTGGCAATTAAAAAAAATACTTGCTGGTGATCTGGATTTTCTTGCTTTTCTAAAATGTAGTTCCAAAACTCGTCAAAATAGTTGATTATGCGTGCTGTTGAAAGTTCGATCTAACAAAGATGTGCTAGAAAAATTATATTGTAAATTAAATAATGATAAATAGAATTATCGAGAGCAAAGTAAAATAATAGAGTAGATACATGATATTACCCTCCTAACATATAATATATATTTTAAAAATTCTGTCATTGTTTTTGGTTATTTTAATGGGTTTCAATCAAAATTAACATGTCATCTGGGTTGTAACTATGATTTGTTGACAGCAAAGCATTTACTTTTTTTTTCCCTGGATTTTATTTTTCGGCATTGTAAATAAAATAAGTTTGTTGACATAGAACAAATTATCAATAATTTGTGCAATCAATTGATAGAATATTAAATATTAAATTTTAATAATTAATTATAAAATTCAAATATAAAAAAAGATATATCGTACCGTTGGCGTTACAATTCTTTTAGTAAAATGCTACATACTGTTATAAGGATATTTTTTTATGTACAGGTCAGTATCAATTATACTTTGATGCACCGACTACTGTTCTGTTAGACACTAGAGTCTAGACCAAATTAACCTGTTCAAATCAAGATGGAAAATTTTTTAAACATTTTTTTACAATGAGAAAAAAAAGCTCAAAAAGAGCTAAGTTGTTATTATTTTTTATTTTATTTTTTAATTTTAAAAAAAATCCCAACAGTTTAAAATTTAAGACTTTTTAAAATTTTTAATTATAATTGAAATTTGAATTCAGGACTTTTAAGTCATCTTTGATGCATAATATGATGGATAAGATAAGATAAGATAAGATAATAATTATTTTATATAATATTTTGTTTGTATTAAAGAAAGAGAAAAATTATAAAAAAATTAATTATTCTGTTAGTGTAAGATAATTCAATTATTTCAAAGTAGAGATAATTATTTTTAATTCATTGAATTAAATTTAATTGTTTTGTTAAACATTTAAAAATTATATCAAAATTTTAAATTGTATAAACTTTGTGAAAAAAAAATTTTGATCAATAAATAAATTATCGTATTTTAATCTTTATATACATCAAATATCAAATAAAATAATATTATTTAATATAAATTTATTCATAATATTATTTTATCATATTCTATCATAATCTACTATAATATTATTAAATTAACAATTCATTGATAATAGACTTTAATTATTGAATATGAGAGTGATCCCAATATTTAGTCCAAAAATCATAAAAAAGTCTACGAAAGACTAATAAGATTAAGATAAGTATGAGCGAACGCACACGTGAAATAAGAAAGGGGAAATAAAAATGTTTGCGGCATTTGGGTCAAAACAGTAGAAACCAAAACTTTCATTGGAAAAAATTCTTAAGGTTGAGGTTGATGAGTTGGGTAAAAATAACAGTAATGGAATGGGATTTGAGTGAGCATTGTTTCTTTCGGTGGCTCAAATTTGATTCCGTTGAAGGTTCCTTCTTGGATTGCTGATTTAGAAGTTAAATTATTAATAAACTAATTCTTTAAGGAAGAAAAAAGTTAGTTTTTTTTTTTTTTTTTATTGTTGAATTTAAGTTCCATCAAGGGTTTTACTTTAATTTTATGTTGGATTTATTAAAATATATGGTGGTTGGTTTGTCTTTATAATTCATTGATTTTTTTATATATAAAACTTAATATAATTGTAATTTTTTAATAATAATAATTTTATCTAAAAATAAAAAAAAAGTATAATATTTTCAATAATAAAAAAAAGAAAGTATAATTTTAATCATAAACTATTTAAAAAAATTAGAGTTGACGAAAACTTTAAGTTTTTTATGATTAAAATTATTTTAAATTTAGATCGCTTTTAATTTAATTTTTAAAGGTTTGACATTAGTTATTTGGGTTCGAATTTTCAAATTTGAATTTAAATTGAATCTAAAGATTTGCTTTTTATTATTTCTTATTTTTGACAAACTTCAAGTAATTATTACACAAATATATTGAGCTAATAATTATTTCTATATATGTTAACAAAATAAAGTTATTTTTTTAGATAAAAAGAAAACAATAATTCTTTATGATATGCTTAAAAACTTTTTTTTGAAATATTTTTTATTTTTAATCATTTTTTACATAATTGATAGTATTTTTTGTGAATTAGATATGATAGTTATTATCATTTTTATCATATCATCCACTATAGATAAAAAAATTCAATAATAAAAAATATAGGAAAAAGAAATAGATAATATAAATTTATACATTAATTTGTCAAGATTAAATATATACAATAATAAAAACAAATATGTCAATAAATTAATAGAGAATAAAAACATTGAAGAAATGAATGAAACAAAAAAATATATAATAAAAAAGTTAATTATAATCAATCTAAGCAAAATTAAAAAAAGTTATGGACTAAAGAGAAACAAATAAATTAACCAATTATATAATATAAAAATATTTAAATTAGAACATAAATAGAACATTATATTTGTTTTCAAAACAAATATATATTTTTATTTAACTTTTTTATCAACATTCAAATGTCTCATATTTTCATATAAAGATGTAAGCTTTTATTACTTTAAAAATACATGCTTTCTAAGTAATAATTCATTAACTTATATAAAAATATTAAATTTAAATAATCTATTAAATAATTTTTATTTTTTTTATAAATTTTGATTTGAATTTAAATAATTATCTAAAAATATTAAATTTAAATAATTTATTAAATAGAATTATTTGTCAAAAAATAAAATTTTATTAAGTTTACATATTTGAAACTGTCATTAAATTAAAAAAAAAGATAAATTATGATTTATATTTTTGAATTCAAATCTTATGCAAAAATTTCAATCTTAGATAGATTTTGATCTCATTTAAATAATTATCCAAAATATTCAATTTAAATAATTTATTAAAAAAATTTATTTTATAAATAAAATAATATAAATATTATCCTTATGTCATTAAAAGAAATTATTCATCTAAACATCCACATAAGTAATTTTGATTATGTAACATTGTATGTTGTAATATAATATATATATATATATATATTAGATTGATATTTATTGAATGATAAAAAATTTATTAAATTTTTTAATAAAAATATTTATCTTAAAATTGATCAAATGTTTTTAAAAATATTTCAGAATTTATTCAATAAATTTATGTAACGAAACTAGTCTTGCCTAGTTTACGTTTGCTGTGGGAAACCTTGCCATTTAGGTTGGTTACTACGTAACATTACTAGCATCTTTATTTTCCTAACTAAGGTTTTATTTAGATGAATAGTAAGATTAATTATGATAAAATTAAAATAATTATAAAATTTACTGTAATTATGATTAAAAGAAATTATGTAATTATTATTAAAAAAATTTAATAAAAAATTTATACTAACTTAATTTTATTAAAATTAATATTTAAATTTAATTAAAAATATGATAAATTTTTGATACGGTGAAATCCAAACGACTACTAAGGGAATAAAATAAGAATCAAGGGGCGTTGGCCAATTTGGTCGAGGATTAATTGATTACATTCTGTAACTCTTGCTCTAAAGCGACACTTTAATGACTAAAACATGGAGGTAAGGTTCTGAATTGGATTATAATATCGGTAATATTTATGGATTAGTTTTTATTATTTTTATTTTTAATATTAAATAATCATCATCATTATAAGAAAGACAGACACTTTCATAAATATAGTAAATTGGATTTGAAATATGAATTTAATTTAATTAATTTATATAATTATTTTAAAAAATAATATTTAATAAATTTAAAATTTAAATATCAATATTTATAATTTTTTGTTTTCAAATTATGGTTTTTTATAAAAAAATTTTGAACTTGAATATTTACAATTCAAAAATTATAACTTTTCAAACTTCCTTTACCTAAATCACATTTTTTTTAAACTACTGATAACAAAATTTGAATTTCTTTTTAATGGAATCTAACTTCCATTTTCCCAAATCAACAAATTTTTTCTTCGTTTAATAGGTCTATCACAAAGCTTCACATCTACGTAATCAACCAACATTTTACATATTTAATAATCTTAACAATTGATTTATCTAGTAGCATACAATCAAAAGGTGATGGTAATTAAAAAAAAAAAAAAAAACGTAACTCAAACTATTGAAACGACACCGTTCCATAACCAAATACCGTATTGCGGATTAATGTTGGATTCTTCCCGTAGAAACAGCTAGCAATCTAACCAAAATTAAGGAAAAACGGAAAACCAAAGTACAAGAAAAAAAGCTATAAACACGTAGGTAAAGCGTGTCCAAGTGAGTGGCATCCCATATAATTTCAATAAAAAGCAAGCCCATTATAGGGAATTGAAACGTATATATATATAAAAAAAAAAGGAAAGTGATTGATTTCATTACACGCTGGTTAGTGTTTCCATCAATAAAATCCAACTCGCCGGCTGTCATTTTGTTGTCAGAGCTCATTCAATACTACACAATTTCTCTTCTCCCTTAAAAAGAAAAGCCCTGTTTTCTTGCCATTTGTTTCTGTTTCATTATAGCAGTTAACAGCTTGAATTGATATAACTCTTCAAAACTTTGGAAGATTACCTTTCTTTTTGGTATCAAGCATGGAAGATCGTAAGGAGGTGAGTTCTTTTCTTCTTCCTCTTTCTTTTTTTTTTTTGTTTTTTTGGTTTATAGCTCTTTGTTATGTTATTGAGAAAAAGGGAGGAAAATGAACTCAGGGGAAAAGCTTTTGGAAAGTTTTTTTGTAAGTAGTCTTGGAGATGAAGTTCAATGGTTATAGTAATCCGTTGAAGTTGGAGTTTTGGCGATTGAGAATTTTTATTTTTTTTCCTTCTCATTCTTGCAGTTTCTTTCCAACCAAACGAATTTTTTTAGATGTCAATATTTAGAAGCCCACCCATGGATGTAATCATGTAAATTATTTTAATTTTATATGCTCAAAGTATATGGTCATGGATTATTAATTTTCTTTTTAAATACGGTTTTTATTTTTTGTATATGTGGGCTTTTCTTTCTGATTACCTTTCCAGTCTCAAAAGCAGAAATTCCTTTTCATTTTTCTTTTCCCTTTACTTCATTTTTTCAGACATTCAACCAAGTAATAATGTCACTTTGCTCAAAGCTGTGGACCGAAACAGTCAAAGCTGCCATCTTTTTTTTTTTTTTTTTTTTCATTTTATACATGTTTGATTTTGCGTCAAACACATATAAAATAAGCAAATTATCTCGTTATAATTGGCGATCAAACATGCAATGCAAATATATATTTGTTTTAATCGCAATCTTATACGTTTTTATCGATTTTAAACGGTATGATTTTCGTATTATTTTCATATTACTTTTGCCGAATCATCGTTTTTATAAAAAATTATCAGATCTGTGTAACTCCCTTTCCTTGAAAAAATTAACACTATGTCTATATGTATATTCCTTAAGTTTATTCCACGGAAAAATCGATAATCGTGAGTTGAAGAAAAGGGGGAAACTAGAAACAGAAGGACAATTATATATAAGTAATATTAAAATTTTGTTGATTTTGTAGCATTATCTTCAGAGTTGTGCCAGTTGGTTATACCATATGGCACCTCGATGAATTCTCTGCCGTGTGATCTCCAGAGTTAGAATCCATAGAGTTTTGACTTTGGAAACCCAATAAAACATTTTCGTTAAAACTGAAAAATTGTTTCATACTTTCAAAGTAGTTAATTGAGAAGAAATCAGCTATATGATAAACGGCTAAGTGCAGCTTTTGCATCCCTGTTTCTTCATTACTGTTACGAGACTTTTTTTTTTTTTTTTTAAAGCAAATGGTGAGGGGTGTTGCCATTAAGAATATTTTCAGAACTATCAAATAAAATTAAGCAGTTGCAGATTGTGAATGTGGGATTTCATTTAAAACAAGCAATGATAGTTTTGCTAAGGTTGAGTTAATTAAATTGTATTGTTTTGGGGTATGTAGAAAAATGCACCTTGGCTATCAGTGCCACAATTTGGGGACTGGGACCAGAAGGGACAGGTGCCAGATTATTCCCTTGACTTCTCCAAAATCAGGGAAATGAGGAAACAGAATAAGAGGGAAGTTTCAAGAGCCAGTCTTGGAAATGAAGAAGACTTCATTAACCCAACTGCCATCAGTGTTACCTCTGCTCCTGCTGATGATCACCATCATTATCCTCAGAACCATCACTCTCCAACTGTAGTATTCCTTTCCACTACCTTAATTTCCAAATGCTTTATTTATTGATTTTTTTAAAGATAATGTACTCTAAATATCGCTTTTCTTTTTTTGGTTGGTAGCTTTAAATAGGGATAAGAATAATACAAAGCTATAAATTTGGTAGCATGCATGTGCTGGGGTGGTGGGGAAGTTGCGTAGTTGGATCATTTACTCTTTCCTTTGATGTTTGCTCTCTGACAGGGTAGCAATTAATCTATATAGCATATAACTTGGCCCTGATAAAACCCAAGCAGGAAATTGGTTTATTTACCAAGTTGATTTGATTGACCTAGTTGTAGGATTAATTTTCCAATTCTTTTATCATTTTGGTCAACAAATTAAAGATAAGAACGTTGAAGATAGTAATTCGATAATATTAAATTTGGGTGTTGATTTCTAATCTGCAGTGGTCTAGATATCTGCATACTTTTCTCACTTTGACAAATTTGTGATGAGCATGTCTTTAAGAGCACGTGGTTCTGTTCCTCCGATGACAGAAATAAACTTGCAAAGTTAGTGTTAGAATTGCATCAATGAACAATTAGAATCATTTTACGGAAAAACTGATCTTAATGGTTTTGTGAGTTTGAATGCTTATGGGGTCTGATAATGGTACAACATTATCCAGAAAAACATATTTGTTGCGAATGTCTTTAATGGTTGATCACTATGAATGCATGATGGAGATTTGTGCCAAAAGCTTATAGCTCAAGAACACAGAAGCTCCACTCTAATTCTACCTCCTTTTCACCTTTTTCACTTTTTGTTGTAACAATCCTCGAATGGTGGTTTTCATGTCATTTCAATTCATTGCCTTTTGTTGTTTCTCTTGACAGACAAGGAGGAGTATCTTCAGCTGCTTCAACTGTTGTGTCAAGGCCTAATGTTCATGGACTTGATGATAGATGATTTTAAAGCTAAATGTTACGACGATGTATCAAAAGAGCACTCTCTCTCACTTGTATGTTTCTTTTTTTTTTTTTTTTGTTTTCTAATCTTTTTTCTTCTGCTTCTCTTCATCACCTCTTCATTTTTTACAATAGATGATATGTTCATTCAGCGTCCTCTTTTCTTGAGTGCTATATCATGAGAACTGATGTAATTTGAATCAAAACTAATGGGGAAGTAAAAAAGGAGTTTAGTTCGTGTAATTATTTTTAAGGAATGATATTTAATAAATTTAAAGTTTGAAATTAGAATCTATAATTTTTTTTAAAATTTCAAGCTGACCTTTTTGAGAAAAAAAAGGGGAGTTGAAGTCTTGAAACGTGAATTTTAGAAATAATTAGCAGATAAATGATTAGGCTGATGTCCCGAGGATGTGACATGAATGAAAATTTGGTTGGGGTAAATGAAGGTATTGTGGCTAAACAATTGAGAGGATGGGGGGACCATTTCCTTCCTGCCTATCTTCTGGTCCATTTCTTTGAATCTTAACGGTGAAAGGACAGCTTAATTAATTGAAAAAAGTTGTGTGACATTTACCTACCAAATCAGAAATAAATGTAATGCATACCTTTTCTAAGGAGGATCTTTTATTTGCTTTGACCATTGTCGTCGCTGGTTTGTTACTGCCACTATAACTGGCAAAAGCTGGTTAACCAATTACTTCCTCCGAAACCGTTCTTCAAGAATAAAAGGTATATACAGGAGTTGTAACATTACTGATTTTTTTTTTTTTTTCTGATTTTTTTTTTTTTTTTATTTTAAGAATCAGATGGATATATCCGCTTTCAATACCGAAAGGAAGAAAAAAGCCAAAAAGATGACGAGTGCCATAGAATAAACCAACGAGATCAGGCAATAACCAAGACATTCCGTATTTCTCCTTGCTTTGTTTCTGCAAAACCACACAAAACAGTCACGACAACTCCAGTTTTATTTATTTATGCAATATTAAACAAACTCGGACGCTAACAACAATCATCCAAAAAATCTGACCATTCGCAAAATCAGATGATGTGGTGCTACTAATAGTTCTGTTCTGCATGCACCACATGAAACAACGAATATAAGAACGGAATTCAATTATCAAAGTCATCAATGCCAATTCTCCCAGAAGTCGACAAAAATTTTGCTACCAAGTTCTATTGCATTTTAATCTTGTACTAGGTTTTAGGTGGAATGTTATCGTATCAAAGCAAAACATGCAATGAGATAATCAGAACAAACGAGCTTGACAACAAAATGGCTTAATTACACATCAAGCTGTCTCTTCTACCTAATTTCCAGCTTAGGTTCCTCACTGGTAGCTGACAATTGAAAACGTGAACTTACTGATGATTTCCTTGATAACTCCATATTCTGTAGTCACACTTTCTTGATACTCTGAACGACATCTTCATCCTCAAGTTCATGATCCTGGCATAAGAAGTATGATTTATCCATGTAAATCAGCAGCATAGAACAAAAAAAAAAAAAAGGGTAAAAGAAATGGGGAGAAAATGGTCGGATAGGGGATGTTAAATCTGAGTAATAGAGAAATCAGGTATTTAGAACAAACCTTGCCAACTCTTTGCGGCTTGTGTTTTATGCTTGATCCCCATGCAAGTGCACTGTAACATTTGTCCAGAATCAGAACTTATTAATTTGAAATCTAAAATTTACATTCTAAATATGATAAAAAAGTAAAAGAAAATAGTTTCTAAAATATCATCTCAAATAGAAAAGTCTATTGCTGCATATTTCACTTGTCAAGAAACCAGTGACTTGCAACAAACAGTATGCCTTCCGACACAATAGACTAATCTAGCCAACTATGTTATTGGGGTTGGCACTTGGAGGTTGGGGGTTTGAATGAGCTTATGCGTGTAATGTTCTCTTCAGCCAAATAAGTATTAAGGGTAGAGTGGTTTAAAGATAGATTAAGAATTAAAAAAAAAGACTAATCCAAAATAACCAATAGACTGAAAGTCAAAGACAATGCCAACATAAGCTATGCTATTAGCCTGTCCCAAAACAATGCAAGCAAACAGCAAGGATATATGCTTGGATATACCATGTTCTTTGACAAGTATTACACTTCTTACAGATTGTTAAAATATGGCCAAAATCGTAGAGCTGTAAACTTAACCATCCTTGTTATTTTATTCGTTACTAGATTTACTGGAGAGGGTAAAGGAAAAGGAACACACCCCACTTAGAAGCTAGTAGTCCAAAATAAGAAAGCAATTAAGGCGACACATTTCTTCTTAGTGTTTTATTATGTGCAACCTAAAATTCTGACATTATTGTGAGATTTTACCTTCTAATAGCAGAAATTGGATGGAATTTGCTATCTTAAAAAATAAGCAGGGCACTCATAAAAAGTATAAGCGGGCATGCAAATATATATGATATTTAGTTTTTTTTCTCCCTCGGTATTGTCAATCAAAATCCCAGGGCAGACTTCTAAAACACCTTGCACCTGCAAATTATTCAAGTAGAGAAAATGCCTATGACTTGACGCCATACTGCATTAAAGATTTGGAGAGGATACTTACTACTTAAATTGTTGAAGCATGTCTTTGTGGATGCAGTTGCAGAAGTCCTCAACCGTCCTCTTCTTTGATGACAGGATAACAGGATCCTCATAGTCTGGATTCATCCCCTTTGGCTTCGTGTATATATATATATATATGCGAGTTAAATCAAGATCCTCCCATACCTTCTCCAGGAGACCATCTAGGTTCCACTCCAGGTGAGCAATTTAGAGTAGTCAGAAAAAGAAATTATATAAAAAATGATCAGGAATTAGACCAAGAAAAAATAGTTGCAGTAAACCACTCAATCATACTTAGGAAATCCAATAGGAGTAAAAATGACTCTTAGGAGCACAATCAGAAACCAAGCATAGGCTAGTCATTACAATTTATTTCAAGCTATTAGTATTGGCTCAACCCGAAAAACTATGGCCCTAAAATCAGTGTTTGGTGACCCTACTCCAGGCAAGGAAAAGCACAACTATCCTCATCTTTAAGTTATCCGAAAGCTACAACAGGCATTGTGCAGTCATTGTTTGAAGGTGTTCATCTGATAACAAATTTGATGGTTTTTGTTTAATCTAAATATGGTTTGTTCCTATATCCTGAGTGCTTGTTATAAAACACTTTAGTGGCTCCAAAGGAACAACTATTATATGAAGTTTAAATCACAACAAAAAAATTTAAGATTGCATCTTAGAACTAACATACTTCAATGTAGCAGGCCTAATTCATAATGCTGACTTTGAATGAAAAAAGTGTTAGCAAGAGGGTTGGACAATTTTCCAAAGGACCAGGAGCAGAAACTACCTGATTGGGCAGTAATGAGAAAGTTTATCCAATATCTCCAGCTCTTCATGTGTAATCTGATCGATCTTTTTGACAATATAGATGCAAGGCATACATATCCTACTGCCTTCTATGACATCTATTAGATCATCAGCATTCGCATCATACCTTAGAGTGATATCAGCATTGTGTATTCTGTACTTGCTACATATTGGCTTTACAGTTTCAAGGTCCAGGTGAGTATTCGCAACAATGGAGTTGAAATTAATACCACCCTTGTCTTTCTTTCTAAATGTCCAATTAGGCGGTTCCTTGTTCAACCTGTCCCAACAAACCAACAATTAAAAAAAAAAAAAAGTTAGACAGCAAGAAGAGATGCATATAAAGAAAGATATTAAAAGATTTAGATCCTCTTCAGTTAATTGGAGACCCTATTCTGTTTCCTTTTATTTTGTCACATCATACATCCACTCAACTCGTGATTATTTGGTGCTTAATGAAAAATACTACACTTTCGAAAGCATTGGCAAGGAGTCAAACCACTACACAGATACAGCTCAAGAATGGTAGCAACAGGACATGTGGATGCTCCTAGATGTATACCATATTAATTAACTAAAAGAATAATATTGACAAGGAAAAACCTTAATGTCAAGGATATTCTACACAGCTATTATCACTCCATCAAAAAAATAAATGACACCACCAGTTCAAAAGTCAGAGCAAGCAACCCATGTTTTACTAAATTCCAATGAAGTAGGGAATCCTACCTGGCCCTATTTTGACATAAACATTACTGTATAGAACTAGAAGTCCTTCAGGATAAAGTCTAATAGCATTGGCAGAACCATCTCAAGATCAAGGTTCTACAGGCATGTATATTTGTTTTAAAATGTCATTATTATAATTTCCCTGTGCTCTGTGATCTCAATGTTGAAGAACCAAAAATAACGCTCACTCAAGTAACTGCTTTGTGCCATAATTGGGAGATCAGTTTAAATTCGGCGAACATTGATAAGTAACAGACTGTTGTTGGGGAAAACTAAAATCAAGGATGTGAATGGGCAGTAAGTAGGTAAGAAACTCAAGCTTGCTTAGAAAGAAAAATATAAAAAACAAGCAAAAAGAATACCCTTAGATCCACATTGATAGCACTTCGATGACAAGTAAGATCAGTGAAGTTATGAATGGCTAAGGAATACATAATGACATGCAAATGCAAAACAGGCAAAAATAACATCAAAGGTGAAACCACAAGGAGGCAACAGAAAGTTACCAGTGTTACCTTATACCAAATCTTTCAAGCTCTTTCTCAAAGAGATGCTTGTGAGTTATTGGTTTTATTGCGTCAAGTACAATTAATATACAATTACATGTCCTAGCAGTGCTGATGACCTAGATAAACAATGGCATTTCTTTAAAATACTTGCAACAATGGATGAGCATCACAAGAAAGATCAGAAACCAGTAGCATCTAAAGCAATTATGCTACAGGCGAAAACAATTTTCATAAAAGGTTTGACCTAGAATTATACTAAGGTGATTGTAATTCTATGACATTAATAGCATCATGTCCAAAAATAAAATCAGATTGAAGATATCCACTCTGCTCAAATGCATAATCTTTCATGATACTGATACTTTGGTAGGAATAGCATAAACATGAAAAATTACCATTCTAAGTTGTAAAATCAAATTAAAATTAAAAGCTATGCATACAAGCAATAACAATATAAATAGCAGATTAAGAGAATAAAAACTCAAAACAAATAAGAATTAAACAACAGAAATGAAAAATTACCATTCTAACTTGTAAAATCAAATTAAAACTAAATGCTAAGCATACAAGCAATAATTGCATAAATAGCAGATTAAGAGAATGGAAACTAAAAATAAATAAA